TCATATTTGTGTTTCTCGTGACGAGGGCTTTCAAATAAGATTTATTTTAAATACATTTTGATTAGTTTTGAAAAAAATCTGTTAAGATTCAACCCTTGAAACTTAGTACCCATGACAGATAAAATCATAACTTTTGTACAAAAAAAATCGCTTAAAGTTTAAACTCTGCAGCTTGATACAAATGATCGAGAAAATCGCTAGTTTCAGATGCAAAATCGTAAGTTTCGAAACTGGAAACTTAAAACTTATTGTTCCCTCGTGCAGGATCCAACTACTTTGAGGACTCGTGAGACATTCAGTTGACTTGGGAGGGCTTGACACCTCTATGCCCCCGCACCTTCGTGCCCCTGTGAGTTCCTGCTTGCTGGCAGCATTTCACACTTTGCAGTAGTTGTAATTTCCCAAAAAGGGAAGGTACGTGTACGAACAAAATAGGGAAGATATGTGTACATAATTTGGGTACCGAAATGATGTCCGATAGAGCTGAATTTTTTTTGTTAGGACATGCGATCTGTTTTTGACAAACGAAGCATGCTTTCTACTATTAATTAAGATAGAAGAAATAATATGTGGGTAGGGGAAATGCCAAATCTAGGTGGATAAATATTCATTCGTGGTCTTTACTACACCGTGCGGAAGTCAGGGAGTATATGATCTTTGGGTGCAACCGATGGGAGGCGGTAGCTCGAGCTACCTACAAATCGGTTTGGATGGCGGTCTAACAATAGAAGAGGTGTTTAGGCATTGTGTATATGTTCTCCGGTTGTGGCCATTTGTTTACTTCTTTGATTTTGTTTTATGTACCTGAGATGATTTTTGTACCATGATACTCTGTTCGTTTAAAGAAATGGTTGTGCGCATCGCTTCATGCAGGAGCCAGAGGAATTCTTCCATTAAAAAAATGTGATTTGTGAGATACTTGTGTGTATATCATACCTTTTGTTACTCATTATGACTGCTGTTGTTGGCGCCATGCTTGCAACTTTTGAATTTTTCTAGAGGTTCTACAGAAGGACTACCTGTAGCTATTTCTAGATAAAAGTGGAAGAAGCGGAGTGCTTGGCTCTCTTTGATTTTTTTTACTTCTCACCTTGAGAAGGAAGGTCCAACCTCAGAGCAACTCTGACAGACCCCGCAAAATCTCGACCCGCAAAACGCGTTTGCAATTTGACGAAAATCTCGTTTGTCGGTCAAGAACGAGCGCGGTCGAACAGAAATCATAGATGAAACTGCATAATTTGAAAAAAAAAACAGTTTTGCGGGAGAAATTGCACCTCGTGGGCGCGGGTAGTTCATCACGTACTACATATATTTACATGATCAAACACTACAAACACTAGTTCATACTACATACTACATCAGTACTAGTACTAGAGGGGTGGGGATCTCACGGCGGCGAGCTCGCGACCATGGACGACGCTGTGGAGGAGCTCAATCCTCCTCGTGGGAGCTGCCGAGGTCGATTTACTTCGCCCTCTGCTCCTCGCGGATGCGCCACCACTCGTCGTCCTTCTCCTTGGCGGCGAGGTTGGCCACGACCACCTGCCGGAACTGAAGGTCTTTGAGCTCCTCGTGGTGGCGTCGGCGCTCCGCCTCCTCGCGCACGCTCCGCTCGGCAATGGCGGCCGCAACCGCGTCGACATCGGCGACGAAGTCCTCCAGCCCGACGACTCCGCGACCGCCGAGCTCCTCGGGCTCCTCCTTGACGGGGACGAACTCAAAGTCCTCCGGCTCCTCCGACCACTCCCTCTTCACGGGGAGAAGGCCCGCGCCGGAAGAGGAGGAGCTCCCGGCGTAGGAAGATCTCGCCGCGGAGGAGAAGGACGCGGCAGAGGACGGGGTATGGCCGTGCCGATGGTCGTACTCGTCCGTCTCGCGGACGCGGAAGCTCGGCGGCGGTGAGAGGCCGCGGTTGGTCCACTTCCTCGTCCCGCGCTTCCTCGCGCCGTCCGACCGGACGCGCCGCTCGCGCTTGGGGTCACTGCCGCCGCCAGATCTGCTGCCGAAGCCGCGTCCGTAGCTCCACATGCGGCCCCACATGACGGCCGGAGGCGGAAGGGGGTCACGGCAGCGAGAAATGTGGAGAGGGTGGGGGTGGGAATTGCGTAGCTCGGCGACGGGTGGGGGAGGGGGGATAGGGTTTCGCCCCGCAAACGCGCCGCGAACCCGTAAATATAGTGGTTGGGCCGTGCGGTTTGCGGGCCGCGGTAAAAATTTTTACGGGCCGAGCGAGTATGCGGGCTCTGTTCTGACCGAAAAATTGGATCGAGCCCGCATACTCACCGGAATTTTACGGGTCCCGGGCTTTTGCGGGGAGTTGCTCTCAAGCCATCTCCCACAGTGACCTTAAAACGGACTCCGTATTTGTCCGCAGGCCGATCCACATCGGTGTCCGGACAATGATACAAGCCCGTCAGCCAACCCTACACTCTAAATATCCGGCTCTGTTAACTTTAAAATAATTATTAACTTTTAGTTTGACGGAAGGCTACTAATTATAGTGCTTTCGTGGCGCCAACCGTATCTGGTTTTGTTCTTCTAAGTTCCCCGTCAGAGTCGGAGCTGCGTTGTCTGACCGCAGGTCGACTTGTCGTCGATTAGGATGGGCTTTGCCCTGTGTATTTCAGTCTATGGGAGTGGGTTTGGCCCTTGTTGTTTCAGTTTTTACCCGGTTTTTTATAATTAACTGGGCAATTCTCTTCTGCTTAATTAATAGATGAGACAATCTTTGATTCCGTTTCAAAAAAAAAAAAGTCATGACTAAGCACCAAGCATAAGCTATTATTTTGGCTTCCGCCAAACGAAGGTGCTAAATATTTGGCCTCAGCCGAATGAAGGTGTTCCAACTAGTGCATAAAAAAGCACCTTCCGCCAAATGACTACCTAATTTACATAATAAAAATATATTAATTATCATCTTTCGTCAAATGCAGATATACTAGGAAGTACTACCTTTCGCAAAAATGCTAGCTATCCACTACAATTAGCGCAATGCATTCCGCTAAACGCTAGCCATCATGAGTGGACGCAGAATAGAGACAATGTGTGATGGCTTTTGTTTGGGTATACAGATGTTCGAACTTCTGCAAAGATCAATTTTGTTTGTCTCCAGTTTACGGGAAAATGGACATCCGGTAGCGTCAGCGGATCCATGCAGAACTGCGTTGGATGACAAACTGCGGCCGGACAACATACTCGTTTGAGGGTCCATTTTAAAGATGCCCTTATGCATAAAGTGGTTGTCTCTTGGATAAAGAGGAGACGAAATGCGGCACCGAGCCGCTCGCACGCACCTTTCTTTTGCCTTCTGATTTTCGACCTTTCATATCTTTGAATGAAAAGTTCAAATTAGGTTCTGCTTTCATGTTCGTATTTTTTACGACGAGGGCTTTCAAATAAGATCAATTTTGAATATGTTTTGACAAGTTTTTAAAAATTCCGTTAAGTCTCAACTTTTGAAACTTAGTACGAGTGACCGACAAAAACACAACTTAGTACCTGCGACCGCCAAAAAAATTGATACAAGTTTCAGTTCTGAAATTTGATACGATCGACCGAGAAAATTGTAAGTTTCAGATGCAAAATTGTAAGTTTCAAATATTAAAACTTAGAACTTATTGTGCTGTTCACCGTCTGATTTACCTCCAACGGATTTTGTGGGGTCTTGGTCTTCCTTCGCCAACCCCTGCCCGTTGACCTGCCCTCCGACACCGACCGAACCACCGTCGGGGCGCTATGTGTGCGCTTCGGCGCCTCAATACTAAATTGCTGCCGGTCTCTCTAAACCCTGCCAGCTTCTGTCGATACCCCACCCCACCTGCACCCGTTAACCGTCGACTCTCCTCCACCGGGGACGATGAGGAGGCTCCACATATTCGACGGAGACCTAAAGTTTTTTCATGCACATAAAGAATAGCAAACTCGCCCTTTTATTCATGTCAGCATTATTACACAGGAGAGATATTACGATGTAACACTGTTTGCACATACAATAACGGCCCCAAAAAATGATAAGTGTACAAACAAAGAGAGAAGTGCATATTACACCCCCAACTCTAGCCCTAGTCTAATATACACCCCCAACTCCAATACCGTCTAATATACACCCCCCAACTCACAAAACTGGTCATAATTCAACCCTCCCCTCCCTGTTGACCGGTTTTGACCCAGTTTGACCGGTTTTGACTGAGTGAACAGTAAAAATAAAATTTTAAAAACCATAATATTTTTTTGAAAAAAATTCAAAAATGTTCCATGTTTTTTTCACCGTGTGAACAGTAAATTAAAAAAAATCACCTCTTCAGCATGTTTGGACACCTGAGTAAATTCGAGATGTCCGTAAATTCGATTCTTTTTTCAAAATTTCAGCTTGGCGAACAGTAAAATCAATTTTTTTTAAAACCCTTTTTTTGCATGGATGATGTTTGAGCGCGTGCTGATTTTTTTTGGATTTTTTCCTCGAATTACTGTTCACCATGCTGAAAATTTTGAATTTTTTCGAATTTACGGACATCTCAAATTTACTCAGGTATCCAAACATGCTGAAAAGGTGATTTTTTTTTTGAATTTACTGTTCACATGGTGCAAAAACTTGGAACTTTTTGAATTTTGTCAAAAAAAATATTTTTTTGTTTTAAAATTTTATTTTTATTGTTCACTCAGTCAAAACCAGTCAAACTGGGTCAAAACCGGTCAACAGGAAGGGGAGGGTTGAATTCTAGCCGGTTTTAAGAGTTGAGGGGTGTATTTTAGACGGTATTGAAGTTGAGGAGTGTATATTAGACTAGGGCTAGAATTGAAAGGTGTAATATGCACTTCTCTCACGAACAAAACATTCAGCAAACTATATGGAACAGTGACCGACGCCTTCAGATCATTTGGCAGCTCCATTCAAACAGAGTAGCGCTCACATCTCTCGAACATATAATAATTAAGTGCCCTCGATTCCCTTCAGTTTATTTCGCACGCTTGCATGGCTGCACGTACGTACGTACGTACGTTCATGCGAGGTCCTCCCTCATCAGACCAGCGAAGTCGTCGGCGTGTTCCTTGGTGACGCAGCTCGCGAGCAGCCGCGTGCCGGCGAGCGGCGCCGGCGCCTTCATGACGATGACCGACGCGATGAGGTCGCAGTTCACCAGCGGGCCGGCCGTCATGGGCGTGCCGTACCCGTAGTCCACGTCCGAGAACCCCAGCTTACTCCAGTCCGACACGTACACCGACTCGTAGTCGAACGTCATCTGGAACGGGTCGCGGCCGCCGGTGCGGCACTCGGCCCAGCTCAGACACTCCTCCGCCATGCGTCGCTTCGCTTCGCGGACCACCCCGACAATCTCGACCACCGACGAGCCGGCGATCTTCTCCGCCGGCGCCGACACCTTCACCGGGAAGATGGCGTTGCCCCAGTATCCCGGCTCCAGCTTCAGCACGTGGCGGGCGCTGGCGAAGAAGCAGAGCTTGACGTCCGCGCCGGGGACGACGACCGGACCGATGGCCCGCGTCCGGCACTGCCAGAGCTTGGCGATGACGATGTCGAAGCCGGAGCAGTGCTTGCCGCCGGTGAACTCGGAGTACTGCGACTTGATCTTGTCGATGTAGGCTACCGGGAAGTCGAACGCGATGTACTCGAGGGCCAGCACGGGCAGCTCCGGGAGCGGGCCGGGCTTGATGTCCGGGTCGGGGAAGCGGTCGCGCCCCCAGACCGGCTTGACGCGAGGCTCCGGGAGACCCCGGGCAAGGTCGCCGACGGCGTTCAGGAACTGGGCCGCGCCCGTGCCGTCGGCCACCGCGTGGTTGGTGCGCAGGCCGATCACGAAGCCGCCGCAGGTAAACGTCGTGACCTGAGAGATCACAAGTTGACAACATTAAAGATGCGCACGAGTTCGTCATGTGTACACACGCAACATATACAGTATGATAAATGTAAGTGTGCAACTACTCATCACAAGTTTACAACATTAAAAATGAGCACGAGTTTGGTTTTGCTAAACAGAAGAGAGTTGGCGTAGTAAATTTACTTAGTCGGGACCAACCGCTTCCTCCGAGAACGTGAAGACAAAGCTGAAGCAATGCACGAAAAACAAAATAAGAACCTGTATCATGGCAAGGCTGTTTTGCGGCTCGACGGCCCAGAGCTCCGGCGTCGGGTACGGCACGAGCTGGTCCTTGCCGAGCAGCAGCGGCCGCTCCAGGAAGTTGACGTCGGCGAGCGTGCAGTTCGCGGTGGCCTCGACGAAGTAGACGCCCTCGGCGGAGCACAGCACGGCGGGGCGGCGCATGTCCTCGCCTTCCACGATCCGACCCGCGAAAGGGTAATAGTGCACCAGCGCGTCCGCGAGCGCGCCGCGCACGACGGCCGCCGGGGGCTTCCTCTTCTTCCCTTCCGCGCCGGCGTCCACCGTCTCGGGCACGGCGTCGCGGTACACGTGCACGGACTCGACGAGGCCGCGGTGCGTCGGATACCGGTCAACCCACGCGAGTGGCAGCGTCTCCGACGGCGTCGCGGCGGATGGCCGGACGGGGCCCTCGGACACCTTGGTCACGGCGAAGACACCCATGGAGTTTGTGTTGTGCCAGTTAAGTGGTTACCTAACTCGTCGTCAGCGGCTATGTTTGCGTGGAGTGACACCGCGCGGCGCCAAGGGCATTTATAAGAACCAACCACCCTGTTTTGCCACCTCGATCGGGCGGTCGATCTCCACAACCTTTTTTTTTTTCAAGAAAAGGTCGGAAGTTGCATGTTCCGGTTGATGACTAATTTACGTTTTATTCTCCCACGAATGCGAATGCACAACGGTAATTCAAGTGGCCATTAGTTGGGTTAGATGGTTCGTGTCTCATTATTTTGAGTGAAATGCTACGGACGATTTCTTAAGGAATGGGCTTACGAGATTAGGTGGAGTAGGGAAATTCAAAGGTAGAATTAATGGAGAAGATGACAAGTCTTCAGATTAGGGCATCTGGGCATGTAGAGTGGTCTCATCCTAAGCCTGCCATGTACTCCATGGGTGTAATATAGAGAAGACAATAAAAAAAATGCACAATGAATTATTTTTTAGTTTATCTCTGGTAACTAAATATCCCTAAATACGTCGTGATGCTTATTTTGATAAGAGACCACCTCTTAACTAAAAGAAGACGAACATTTTATTATTGTTTATCTCTCCTCCAGTTCAACATGTATCCTACATTACACTTGTGAGATAGTATTATTTGTTGGAAATATGAGCAATTTACCAAATAATTTTATTAACAGAAATAATAGATAAAGCATGACTAATATAGTAGAGATAAAATAAGTCAGGCGTTCTGACAGAGAGAAGGTAAATAGCTTCTGCATATATGAACCGTAGCCTATCATATCTAAAGCAGACAGTATAGCAAGTACCATATATGAAGTAGAACCTATCATGTGTAGGACAAGGACTAGAACAAGGAACTGCGGCAGAACCTTTAATAGGAAAGACAAGAACACGTACGGGACAGCAGCAGCAGAAGCGCTGGACTTGGGGTCGGTGTCCTTGCCTGCCATGTCGTCGAGGAGGTCGTGGACGTCGAGGAAGAAGTCGTCGGCGACCGGATCGTCCATGATGAAGCAGCCAGTAGTCGCGCTGAGCGCTCCCCAAAAACCTTATCACCATTCTCCCGTACAGGACTCAAAAGGTGCGGTTTCGGAGGCCTACTGTCCCGACCTGCGGTGCATGCCGCAAGACGGGATGGGGAAGAGCGTAGCAGCAGCGCAGTGGTTGGAACTTTGTGGCGAGAGGAAGATGAGCTTCTGTTGTGTCTCTCTGGAGAGGAGCGACCTCTCTTATATAGGCACATGAGAAGGACGCGAAGAGGCTGCGGCAGGAGGTGAAGTAACGAAGGGAGACGAAGCGAACAAGCGGCGGCCGAAGAGGCGCGCCGATCGAATTCAGTGTCCACTACAGAAAACGTTTCAACTCTCACGTGACCTTTCGTATACCCATCGTGCGTGGCAAAAATTTAGATATCGGCTCGGCTCATTCCCGCAACCCGCAACCCGCAGTGCGTCGTGACAAGGCGTGGCGTGGCGAGGCGGGCGGCGGAGGAGGAGCGCGCGTGGATATCCCTCTTGTTCTCATGCTCGTACAAGTGGGGAAAGAGCCTTCCTTATAAGGAGGTCCAACTCCCACTAAACTAGCAATGTGGGACTAAACTTTAGTAGTATCCCTTGCCTTACACAAATGGGCTAAGTGGGCCTCTAGGATTTATTAGGAATTTCTGAAATAGTTATTGGGCTGCCCAAAATAGACTAAATTCCAGCAACCCCCCACCAGATCCCAGAGACACACAGAAATTTGCTTTTGATTCCAAAACACTGTTTTATATAGCGGTACTGCAGTGGAGACTGTTAAGTTGAACTTCCACCTAGAACTCTATGCTACACTAGTAAGCAACTTGAACAGTGGACTGGGCCTTGAACTGCAAGTTTTCTGCGAATCTAGCTTCACATAAAGCCTTGACCGGTACGTGGCTACCGTGGATCTTCCGCGCGGGTGGAGCTTATGCGTCATACTCCGTGACCTTTCATGAGTTTACTAGAGAGAACCCTACTCTCATAGATTGCGACGTTTGACAATCAGACTCATATAGGTGTGTTCTTCAAAAGATGTTCTGCAGGATAACATCTCTGCTTAAATAAGCAACTTAGAACACATTAAGATATACATCAACCTGCCATGTAGATTAGGAGAGTATTGCATCTTCATGGAGTGGTATTGTGAATAGTAAGGATACTCTCCTCTCAGTTGACCAACATCTTGTTTTCCACATCTAATTCACGGGATCTCCGATCACAAAGAATAGGTTACCACTGTGAACAACTCATATTGTGGGTCTCATACCCATCTCCCTCGATGCATTATCTATCACATTACGTGATAGACCCTTGGTAAAAGGATCTGCCAGATTTTAGACGTTTGGATATAATCCAACGCAATAACTCCGGAGTTTTTCATTTTCCTGACAGACTTTAACCTTCTCTGAACGTGTCTTGATGACTTCATGTTATCCTTTGAGCTGCTCACTTTCGTTATCACAGTTTGATTGTCGCAGTTCATAAGGACACCCGGTACAGGTTTCTCAACAACCGGCAAGTCATTCAAGAGCCGGCGAAGCCAATCTGCTTCAACCGTAGCTGTATCTAGTGTTGTGAGTTCTACTTTTATTGTTAACCTCGTTAAGATGGTCTGCTTGCAAGACTTCCAAGAAACAGCGCCACCTCCATGAGTGAATACATAACCGCTCGTGGCCTTTATCTCATCAGCATCTGAGATCCAGTTTGAGTCACTATACCCTTCAAGCACCTTTGGATGCTCGGTGTAGTGAATTCCATAATTTGCAGTGCCTTTCAAATAACGCAAAACTCTTTCTAGAGCTTTCCAATGCACATCTCCTGGTTTTGAAACAAACCGACTCAGTTTGCTAACAGCAAAAGAGATGCCAGGTTTTGTAGCACTGGCTAAGTACATAAGCGAGCCAATAATCTGAGAATACTTCAATTGGTCTCTAGCAATTCTTCGATTCTTTCGAAGCAACACACTAGCATCATATGGTGTTGGAGAGGGCTTGCAGTCACTATAGCCAAAGCGACTCAAGATCTTTTCCACATAGTGAGATTGAAGCAATGTAATCCCACCATCATCGTTTCTCAACAACTTGATGTTCAGAATGACATCAACCACTCCTAAATCCTTCATCTCAAAACAACGAGATAGGAAATCCTTGACCTCCTTAATAACATTCAGATTGGTTCCGAAAATCAGTATGTCATCAACATACAAGCACAGGATAACTCCCTCGCCCCCACCATGGCGATAGTACACACATTTGTCAGCTTCGTTCACAACAAAGCCTGCAGCTATTAAAGTTCTTTCAAACTTCTCATGCCACTGTTTGGGTGCTTGCTTAAGTCCGTACAAAGACTTCAGCAACTTGCACACTTTCCCTTCCTGACCATCTAGTAGAAACCCATCTGGTTGTTCCATATAAATTTACTCGTCCAACTCTCCATTTAGGAAAGCAGTCTTAACATCCATTTGATGAACGAGAAGACCATGCGAGGCAGCTAGTGAAAGTAGAACTCGAATAGTGGTCAGTCGAGCCACAGGTGAGTAAGTATCAAAGAAGTCTTCACCTTCCTTTTGGGTATAATCCTTAGCCACGAGCCGAGCCTTGTACTTTTCAATAGTACCATCAGGCCTAAGATTCTTCTTGAATACCCATTTGCATCCTATAGGTTTGCACCCATAAGGACGATCAGTTATCTCCCAAGTTTCATTCGCCAAGATGGAATCCATCTCGCTACGAACCGTTTCCTTCCAGTAGTCAGCATCTTCAGATGCATAGGCCTCTGAAATAGAACTGGGAGTGTCATCTATGAGGTACACAAGAAAATCATCACCAAAGGACTTTGCAGTCCTCTGTCTCTTGCTCCTAATAGGAACTTCATTGTTCTCCTCCACAGGACTTTCAAAGTGTTCCATCGAAATTGTAGGTTCGGTAATTGTAACTGGTTCCTGATTTGATGAACTAGGCATCTCCTGATTAGATGAGGTAGCCATATCCTTCATGGGAAAGATATCTTCAAAGAAAGTCGCATCATTCGACTCCATGATCGTACCGACATGCATGTCAGGTACCTCAGATTTTACAACCAAGAATCTATAGCCAATGCTATGAAAAGCATATCCCAGGAAAACACAATCCACGGTCTTTGGTCCAAGCTTCCGCTTCTTTGAAATTGGAGCATTGACTTTCGCCAAACAACCCTATGTTCGCAGATAAGAGGGTTTTAACCTTTTCTTCTCCCATTCCTCGGATGGAGTTATCTCTTTGTTCTTTGCGGGGACTCGGTTCAGGACATGACATGCTGTCAATATCGCCTCCCCCCACCATGCCTTGGAGAGACCCGATGTGTCTAACATGGCATTAACCAAATCAGTTAGAGTACGGTTCTTTCTTTCGGCCACCCCATTTGACTGAGGTGAATAGGGAGGCGTCCTCTCATGGATTATACCATGTTCCGCACAAAAAGCATCAAATTCATTGGAAAAATACTCTCCACCACGATCGGACCTAAGCCTCTTGATTTTTCAATCAAGTTGGTTTTCCACTTCAGCTTTATAGATCTTGAAAAAGTTCAAAGCCTCATCCTTAGATTTCAGAAGATACACACGGCAGTATCTAGTGGAGTCATCAATTAACGTCATGAAATATTTCTTTCCACCTTTTGTCAACACACCATTCATTTCACATAGATCTGAATGTATGAGCTCTAGTGGTGCAAGATTTCTTATTTCCGCAGTCGTGTGAGACTTACGAGGTTGTTTAGCTTGCACACACACTTGACACTTAGATCCCTTGACGGTGGTGAAACTAGGGATTAAGTTCAACTTCGCTAGTCGCGACATGCAACCAAAGTTAACATGACAAAGACGTGAATGCCACACATTGGATTCACTATTGTTGCAAATATGATTAACAACTTTATTGCAAACGTCTGATAAGGATAAACGAAACAAGCCTCCTGACT